TTTAGATTATGATGTCTAATGAGGAAATAAAATAGGGTAATAGGGTATGGAATGACATTGGGGATGAGTGGTGGATGGGAAGAATATTTTGTATAGAAAGCTGTAGAGAGCTGGAGACAGAATTTACACTGATAGCTCAGGGTAGTGAGTAAAGAGAAGATGTCAGCCATGGGACAAAAATCTGACAGAAGCACAGAAAACAATACCAAATGTCTGAGACAGAAATGTGTTTGGCATTAAATGAGGGATATAAAGTAGACCATGTGATTAGAGTTTAGTGAATAAGGCAAGTGGTAAGAGATGAGGTTTAGAAACCTATGCTTGTCTAGGCTTTGGAAAAGAGCTTCAGTTTATTTAACAATGGCAAGTTGCAGTTTTTAAGTATGGCAGAGGTGTGGTTTTCTTTTAAACATTGTCTCCGGTTTCTCTAATAGTGGGCAACAATACAAGGTGTGATCAAAATGTATGGAGAATGTTTAAATGAGGAAAATTTATTACAGTAAAAGACACATTGCCATTACCCCCTCATACTTTCCTCATTTTAAACGCCCCTCCTTACCCCATTGTCCTTATCACTTTCTCAAGCAGTTTTTAAAGTTCTAATGAGGGTCTTTACAAGGTGTGATAAAGAAAAAAGTGTAGTGAATGCTGCTGCTATGTGCCATACAATGGAAAGGCAGGGATCATAAAAACATTACAGTGTGTGCTCATCCATCTTATTTAGTGGGCTTGGCACTGTGTAACTTCTGGTTCTTCCCCAAAGTCAAAAGGACCACAAAAGGAAAGCATTTTGAATTGATTCCATTCACTGAGGCAGTGAAGGACAGAACATCTTCAGAAAGCCCCAAGAATAATGGCTAAGGGTGGTTAAATATAAAAGTGAGGCAAGATAGGGAGAGATGTCTGCTAGACACATAATTTGTAGCTCATCAATATATACACTGTATTTGAAGGAATGAAATGGAATGAATTTGGGAGCTTAAAATGATAGGTCTTAGAATTGGTCCTGCATACTGTTTAGAGATCAAGTAGAAGAGGTGAAGAAGAGGAAATTCCAGTGAGGTAAGGGGAAAATTGAGAGTGCACTGTTATAAAAGCTAAAAATTACAATGGGTTTTAAATAGAAGGAAATGATCATCTCTGTAAACTGTTTAAGAGGTGTCCAATTAGAGAGGCCTGAGAAGTTACATTATTTGGCACAGTGAAGTCACTGGTGATGGATGTGACAAAAACATTTGAGCAGATGCAAAATAATGTATGTTTGGAGTCAGCTAATAAGAAACGAGAAGTGAGAATGTGGCAAGAGTAAGCAAAGGCAATTCTTGATAAGTTTCACTGCGAAAGGATGCTGAAAAGCAGAGGCTGGGGAGAATGTCTATGGAGAGCTCATACAGTAACAACAGATAATGACAACACAAAGGAAATCCTTAAATAGGTGGGAGGACATGTGATCTGGCGCCCCCAGAGGTCAGGGTGTATTTCTTTATCGTGGAAGGAATTAGTTCATGCATTCAATCCAGGAAGGTCAATGATTTGATGGTGGGAAGATGAGGTAAATACTACTGCCTTAATGGTTTCTGTTTTTCAATGAAGTTTAAAGTGAGAACATCTGTTAAAAGTGAGGTATTGGACTTCCGGGAGAACATGGCGGACAGATAACAGCAACTACCGGAGGCTCTCTGAAAGACTCGGCTCAGAAGCCAGGAATGGTGCGGACTAAGGAGACATAAGCAGGTGGAGATATGCTCTGCTAACTCAGGAACGAACTGGGCTGAGAGAAACCAACTTGGAATGCAGTCCTGGTGCTAAAACAGGAACAGAAAAGCCTCGGTGTGGAGGCTGGCCCCGCGCCATTGTAAGCCGCGATTTGGGTTTCCCGCCGCGCAGCGGCTGGCTGCCTCTACAGTGGCTCGGCAAGGAGAGAGACGCGCAGAAGCTCTGAGAACGGCAATCTGCGAACGGCAGGGAGGCGTGCACTGACTTGTGGTGAGGTGAGTGAGAGAAACTGACCCCCTACCACAGTTTGACTCCAGCGGAGGACTTTCTGGGCCCGAGCAGTCCTGCGGCAGCAGGGCGCGGTGGCAACTCCAGCCACACATCCCCCTCTCGGGCGGGATTGGTGAAAAGTGCCTGGCCTGTGTGATGCTGCCGGCGGACCTGGTAGGCTGTCCCAACCCAGATCCCAGAGCCTGACGGTGGCCGGGAGGGGAGACGCGTAGGCTGCCTGGTCCGTAACTCCCTGGTGTGCAGCGGTGAGCGGGAACACCTAACTGGCGCAATTCGATCAGGCTGTGGCTGACTGGGAGAGAAGCTGGGCCTCTTATATAAGCTTGCATATATAAGGAACAGAGAAGAAGAGGCAGCATGGGAAGAGGCAGCAACAGGAAAGGCTCCTTGGCCCCCAATTCTGAGAAACAGGCAATAGCAGACACCACACCAATACACATAAGGCGCCATATAGAGAGCCTCATAGACCAATTCAGGAATGAAGTTATCAACGACCTGAAGCTAGAAGTATGCAGAATAGTTAGAGAAATGCTAAGTACCACCCAAGAAAAAACAGGTGGTGGAATGGAGAACAGAAAAAAAGGGGAGAATTGTTTGATGGAGAAAACAGAGAAAGCATAGAATACGTGAAGCAGGTTCAAAGGGACTACCAAGATACTAAGAAGTCTATCGAAGACTGGCATAACAGCTTGAAAGAAACTAAGGACAGACTATCTGAACTGGAGGGCAGACTTGTAATATGGGAGAATGAAATGAAAAACTTCTTAAAAATAACAAAGAAACAAACAGCAATAATACAAAGACAAGAAGATGATAAGAGGAGCCATAACTTAAGGATTAAGAACATAAAAGAAGTAGGGACACAAACAAGTGAACTACAAAAGCTACTCACAGAAATAATCCAGGAGAATTTTCCTAATTTAGCAAAAGGTAAAGATACTCAGATGTATGAGGCATATAGGACCCCAGCTACCTACAACCCAAACAGAGCAACACCCAGGCATATAATAATAAAAATTCCAGAAATTCAATACAAGAACAGAATATTAAAAGCTGTCAGAGACAAGAAACAGACCACTTACAAGGGAACACCCATCAGAATTACAGCAGATTTCTCTGCACAAACCATCAAATCACGAAGAGCGTGGGGGGAAATAATTCAAGCTTTGAAAGATAATAATCTCCAGCCAAGATTGAGATATCCTGCACAACTGTCCCTGGAAATTGATGGAAAAACAAGGTGCTTCCAGGATAAAGAGGAACTGGGGGAATTTGCAACCACCAATTCAACTCTACAGAGAGTATTGCAGGATATTCTAAAAAAAGAAAAATACAAAGAATCCAGTAAAAATGGCAGAGAGGCCACAACGAATGGAGCAGAGAACAAAATGAAGAAGACAAACTGACAGCTACTGACAGAAAAAGAGCTCAACAGAAATGAGGCAGAGAAGATTGGATGATAGGAACAGCTATTTTGGAGAAAATGACATCTTAATAGGTAATACAGATTTAGTATCATCTTGTTTTGAAGTCTCATCTAGCTTTTGTCCTTCTGTCTCCAATGGTCTAAATAGGCTGTATCTTATTGGATTTTATTATGTACGATAGTATAAGCAAAAACCTTTTAAAGACAAGGAGATTATACAGAAACCATTGTTCATTTTCTGTTAGTCGATTCTAAATACTCTGTAATGCTGTCATTCTCTTGAATGGTTTTACATTGTTTTGATATACTTAATGCTACAGTATACGAAGTTGTACTCAAGGATTTCAAAGAAAGAGACAATATGGTAACTACTTTTAGGTTAGGATTATCTGGTGGTGAAACACTATTCTAATGGTTATGTTTTGATCTGCGCTGTTTCGTTGTTATGCCCTCTTTTATCTCAATCTCCACTCCATTATTTACTTTTTTATCTTTATCCTTTTAATTAAAGGGAAAAAATAACAGGATATATTATAGTAACCCACTTTGACTTTTCATTACCTTGATTTAAAGCCCTGTATTACTCTCACCATCTGGTTAAACTGATGTCAACTGTTTACAAGGGTCTTCCCTTGTAAGTGGTCTGATGTTAACTGTTTAACATCAGTTAAACTGATGTTCCCCTATTCTGTTTTGCTGGATAGTATCAGGTTCGAAAGTTTAGGCATCAGCTGTGAAGATAATGAGATTCATTATGACGCCCATTCTTGTTGACTTTTATCTACCTTTGAAGACCTACAATGTCTCCAATGTTTTGGTTTTGTCGGTTTTATTCTTTACTGTTTTGTTCAATTGTGTTATAACTAATGATATAGGCAATTCTATTAGAGATAGCGGGAGGCATTATGGTAACCATTGTTGATCACCTTGTATTATGTTTTTACATTATCTATTATGTCCACCCTTTTGACTTGACCGTTTCTGTTATGTCACATTTGGTTTTACTCTCTTCCAAAAAAGTAATAAGAACCGTGAGAGCAATGAAACCCAAAATGTGTAATAGTCATGGTACAAAAGAGAGGAAAAGAAAGTGCTCCAAACTATATAACTGCATGTATATTTAAGTGTATAAGATAGAAAATGATATCACAGAGTTTTATTGGATCAATGAACAGAACTGTTTGCAGTATCATTGATGGAATGTCCACTTTACAAGCTTTAATTTTGTGACTTGAACAATTATTTCTAAGATGACAATATGTAATCCATTAACTAGTGATTTCCTACTGTTCATTTTTTTTCTGTAAATCTGTATAACTTGTACCCTTTCCCTGCTTTTTTTTTTTTCTTTTCTCCTTAAATAAAATTAAAAAAAAAAAGTGAGGTATTTAGGGGGCTGGGGATTTAGCTCAGCGGCATAAGGACCTGCCGTGCAAGCAGGCAGTCGTTGAGTTCGATCCCTGGTACCGATAAAAACTAAAAAGACAAAAAAAAAAAAAAAAAAAGTGAGGTATTTGAGGTTTGAGGAAAGAGAAGATGGGAAATAAATAATTTAGAAAGTCAGAAATGTCACACACAATCTTTTATTTAAAATTTGTCTAGAGATTTTTGTACTTGAGATTTTGGTATCTATTTTTAGCCAATAAAGACTTAACTTCCATTTTATTTCAAAAAACAAAAAAGAAATAATGTCATACTCATGTTCATACTACATTAATAACTTAGTATCCTAATATAGTGCCTGGCACATTGGAGGCACTGAAAAAAATTTTTTGAAGATTTATGGACGGGGCCTTACTTTTCTTGTTACTGAGACAAAATACCTGACACCCAAAGTTAAGGGAAGAAACTTGACTATTAAGGTAAAAAATGGCAAAGTGTCAGACAATGAAAACCTGAGAAAAGAAATGTAACTCTGAACTGTTCGTTTTGCCCCTATATTGACAACAGAAAACATTTTTTCAAGAGAGGGAATATACCAGGCCACATATATCTGTAGTTTCATATTTATATGTTACTACCTCACAAATGAGAGTAAGTGTACCAAGAACATTTGGCTTTTCTGATTTAAACAATTCTCAGGGGTATGTTGCTCAGTAATTAAGTGACTGTGGCCCTCTAGTGGCTATTTTTATTCCCTACCAACCTTTAGAGGAGAAAAAAACCTGCTGTTTCTCAATTGCTCTGAGCTTAACAAATTTCTAATGCCTACATGATATATTTGGGAGGCCTCACCCGATCCTATTCACATTTGAAAAAGGCAAACTTTCTTTCGTAAAACAGCACACTGAAGAGGGGAAAAAAATATAGTGCAAAATGAATCCTAAAAGCTTGTCAAAACGTTTTACTAAAATTTAAATAAAGTTTGTTTGTATGGCTCATTATATACACACACATACACTTTTCTGGTGATATAATTTGTTCTGTATTATTACTAAACAATTTCCATTTCAATATGAAGAAACGGCTTATTGAGCTGTCTATTCAAGGGGATGACTTGAACTAAAAGCTTCCTATCTTCCTATAGAAGTACTATAGTGAAAGGGACTTTTCTTGTAAAATGCTAAGGCTAGTAATTTTTCAACCAAGTCACAATATATGAAGATATCCAGACTTAATGAGGGAAATATAATTATGGCCAGATTAGAAAAATACTTTATGAAATACATTTAAATGACCAAATACATAGCTTATTTGGTTATGTTAGTCTTATTAAAGATGAGAATTGCACGTGGTTATCAGAGGCTACTGAATACCTACACTGCAACAATCTAATGGCTTCAAGAAAGATTTGGCACAAATCTTAACTATTAAGTTGGATAAGTTTTGTTTTGAAGGTTTTCATCTCCTCAAATTTATAGAAGCCATAAATCAGAATTGTTTTACTTACTGAAAAGAAATAAAAAGCTGTTAAAAAGCCGAGGTCTGGCTGTCCCCTCTAGATGGTGCCAATTCACCGGGAGGGCTTGCTTCTTGGTGACTTGTTCTTTTCCCCTGCAGTGTGTGAATGCCACCGACTCATGGAAAAAGGCTGCTTCTCCCCTCAGCAGTCAGCATATGGTGCTAATTTGTCAGGAGGGCTTGCTTCTTGTTGACTTTTTGTTCTCTTCCTAGAACCACATTCTTTGTTTTTTTTTTTTGAGACTGGGTCTCCCTCTGCCGTTCAGGCTGGCCTTAGGCTCACTGTAGCCCAGGCTGGTCTCGAACTTGCCACAACCCACCTGCCTCAGCCTCTCAAGTGCTGGGATTACAGAAATGCACCACCACGCCTGGCTCAGAACCACATTCTTATACAAACGTTTATTTTTATTTTTTAATAGTACTGAGGACTGACCCCAGAGCTTTCACACTGAACCAGGTGCCTGGCCCTTTTTTAATGAGAGAGGATTTTGCTAACTCACTAAGTTGCCCAGACTCGGCTTGAGTTGGAGATCCTTTTTCCTCAGTCTCCCAAGTGTTGGAATTATAGGTAAGGACACCATACCTGGCACAAATATTTCTTTTATAATGGTGGCACACAACTAGATCCTTTGAAGGTATCTGACTAAATATTTTGTATCTTCAGGCTTCAGGATATTCCCATAAGATAGTAAGTGCTCAATAATTTTATACTTTTGTTGGTATGACTGTGATTGGAAAAATTCTTACAATTACCTTGAAATTTTTATCTTTTTGATTATTCAAACAATAGTACAACTTTTTCCATGAAGGACCTTTTCAGATGCAATTAAGATTATTAATTAGCTGAGTTTGTAATCCCAGCACTGAGGGGAAGCTGAAGCAGGAATACTGCAAATTTAAGTCCCTCCTGGGCAATCTATTGTGAAACCCTATTTAAAAATAAAAAATAAAAAGAGCAGGGGACATATTAGCAGTAGAGCACCTTGGGTCACACTCCTTACTCAAAAAAAATTACTAAAGAGTTGTTGTTTTGTCTCTAAATTTTTGTATAGTAATAGAAAACTAACACAAAATTTTTTCACTAGGATCTTAAAACAGGTTTCTATATATAATAAAATTCATGATATCTCTTCTTCTTCTTCTTCTTCTTCTTCTTCTTCTTCTTCTTCTTCTTCTTCTTCTTCTTCTTCTTCTTCTTCTTTTTTTGGTATCAAGGATCGAACTCATGACCAAGCATTTGCAAGGCAGGTGCTTATGCCGCTGAGCTAAATCCCAGCCCGATTTCTTATTTTTTTTGTTAAATAATTTTCATGAAATTATATGAGGAGATGGGTAGTTAAGACTAGTGATGTGAGCTGAAGAGTCTTTTGTTTTGGGTTAGAAATTTGATTAAGTTTAATGTTGTCATAGTCCATCCTAGTCGTTCCATTTTATACCATAAACTAAGATGCTTACAAGAAATAAAAATATATTTCTCAGTTTCGAGGCTGGGAAAACTATTGCAGTAGATTGGTGCCTGGTGAGGACACCTTTTGTGGTCCACAGTCAGCACCTTTTTGCTCATAGAAAAGTGAAAGAGTCTCTCTTAGGGCTCCTTTAATAAAGGTATCAATCCCATCATCTCTCAAAGGCCCCACTTATTAATATACCATTTAATTTGGGGCTCTGGATTTTAACTTGTGAATTTTGGTTGATAGAAGCATTCAGACCACAGTAGTGGGAAAAACCAAGACATAAGAAAAAAACAAAGATACAGTTGCAAGGAAATAAATGAGAAAAAGAAGTATGGAAGGAAATTTTTAAAAAGGGATTCAAATCTCAGGTAGACAGATTACCCAGGATACCCAGTTTTTAATGAGATGACAAAAAGGTAAATGAATGCAGACTCAGACTAAGTTTATAAATTTAGGGGCATAAAAGTGTGTGCTTTCTCTTCTGATGGCTGCCCTTTTTTCTCTGAAGCAGAAAGTGAAGTCACTTGCTAAACATGGATGTCATGTGGAAGTCATGTCATAACCACTTAGGTTTGACACAGATGGAGCGAAACAGATAAAGAACCAAGAAAGATGTTTAGGCAATGATAGAGAAAAACAAATGTGTATGTTAGGTGAGTTTAAGTTAGTTTACAAAGAGATTCTCAAAAGCCTGTGGCTTATAAAATAATTTCTCACTCATGTAGTCTACCAGTGCTCCAGTTCACATGGGTACCCAGGTTCCTTTTTTTTGTGTTTTCTGCCTACAGTATTTTCCTCATCTGCATGGTTGAAGTTTGATGTCAGGCAATCCTAGCTCAAAGGAGCACATATATAAAACACTGATGTCTGGGCCTAACATGCCACACATCATTTCTGCTTTTGTTCTGCTGGCAAGAACTTAGTTACAGGAGGAATTGAGAAATACAGCATGTGGCCATGATGCAGCTAAAACTGTTATGAAGAAAGAAGATGAATTGCCTTTAGTGCAAAATTAGCTTAAACATAGTGGAGAAAAATGGAGGACAGTTAATAAGTTTGACATTTTCCTCCTAAAACTAATGAACTAGAAATCTTAGCATAATGTCAAGAAAGAGATTTGAAGTGACAGGCCACCATGATACTAAGTTGAATAAAAAAATGAATAACCTAGCACAACCTAGATAGCACTTAACGATCAATTATTATGTGCCAGGTTATTTTTCTGTTTAACATTCACAATAATCATTTGAGGTAAGTACCATTATTTTACTGTATTTTACGGTTGAGGAAACAAAACCACAGAAAAATTAAATAACTTGCTCAAAGTTACACAGCAAATAGTAGCAAGACCAGGCTCCAAACTGATCAGAATTAATCCAGTTCCAGGGCTCACAATAGAATTACACCTGCCTCAGTAATAGCTGCTGTAGTTTACTATTTACTGCATTCAGGTAGCATACTATTATTTCACACATGTCATTATTTAATCCATACCAGATGTTTTCGTTAGATGTCACTGACTTTCTTTTTCCCTTTGTTTCTCTCTCTTTTTTCTGTTTCTCTTTTTCCCCTTCCTTCCTTCCTTCCTTCGTCTTTTTGAGACAAGGTTCCATTATGCAGTTCAGGCTGGCCTTAAATTCACAGCAATCCTCCTGTGTCTGCCTCCCAAGTGCTGGGAATCATAGGCCTGGGTCAACCAGAAATTTTAAACCTTTGTTTCTCTTATTACAATGTAAGCAGTTAAAGTGTTAAATCTCCCTCTAGTACTGCGTTGGCTACATCTGGCAAGTTTATCTATTGTATTTATATTACTAAAGATAATTTAGAAAGTTCTTTTAGACATTCTTTGACTCATTATATAGCGGGATTAATATTTGAAGATTTTCTAGATATCTTGGTATGATCTCAGTATTTTGAAATTTACTACTCCTTAAATTATGGTACACCACAAATTCTTAATTTTCCAGATTGACTTGTAAAGAATGTATATTCTATACTTGTATATAATATTCTTTAAATGTCAGTTAAGTCATTTGAGCTGCTACTGATAGGGTTCAAAACATTTTACTGAGTTTTTTTGGTCTTTTATTCTTTAATTTACTAAAAAATGGACTGTGGATCTTGTCACTGTGGATTTTTCCATTCTCCCTTTAGTTTGTTAGTTTAGCTTAGTTCTTTATTTCATCTGGTCTGTTATATATTTTGGAACATGTCTTCCTATTGAGTGGATCCATTTACCATTATTACATATCCTCCTCTATCTCTGGCAATACTCCTGTTTTTGTGAAGTCTACTTTGTCTAATATTAATATAGACTTGTTACTTTCTTATATTTACTGTTTCTCTGGCTTAACTGTTGCCATACTTTTAATTTTTTGGTGTCTTTGTATCAAAAATGTACCATTTCGTTTTTTTTTTTTTTTTGTCTTTTTCCTTTTTATCGGTACCAGGGATCGAACTCACGACTGCCTGCTTGTAAGGCAGGTGCTTATGCCGCTGAGCTAAACCTCCAGCCCCCAAAAATGTAACATTTCTGATTAGACTTTTTTTTGAGACCGCATCTCCCTATGCGGTTCATGCCAGCCCTGAACTCACTCTATAGCCCAGGCTGGTCTCAAACTTGCAATGGTTTTCCTGCCTCAGCCTCCCAAGTACTGGGATTACAGGTGTGTGCCACCATGCCTGGATGTCTGTTTTAAAAATATTCTATTTTGGTATTTAGGATTTTTATAATTTATGTTTAGGTACATTTTTCTTTGTACTTATTCTATTTATGAATTACTGAACTTACAGGATCTATTGGTTCTAATTGTTTTCACTAAATTTGGAGTACTTCAGCTGTACTCTAAATACTTTTTTTCCTGCTCCATTTTTTTCTTCTCATCTTAATATTATCTTTTGGCTATTCTTTTTTTGAAAACTGTTTATTTATTCCATCATTTCTCTTTTGTTTTTCATACTGGATATTTTTCTCTTTACCAGTCTTTTAGTCAACTAACTTTTCTGTCACTCCCAAATTTTTATGAAGCCCTTCCTAAGAATTTTAATGTTTGAGATACTATACTTTTTTTATTTTAGAATTGGTTCCCTATAATAGTTTCTATTTGTCTGCTAAGACTCCTCCCATCTGTTCACTGGTTATGTCTATCTTTTCCTTTAACCCTCAAAAATACTTAAAATAGTTACAGTTCTTAGGTAAACATGCTAAAGGCCAAACTTTGGGAATAAGACCAAACCCTTGAATAAATGCTACACAATAAAACTAAATTAAAATCATGATAAACTCCCTCTAAAAACAACAAAAAGGCTGGGATTATTAAAAGAATATGCCGTGATTCAACTTACTATTTAAACAAGGTAAAATAACACCCAAATGCTGAGTCATGATTATGTATCAGTCATGGTCTCTAGCATGTAGTAAAAGCTTACTAGAGTGCATCATTTATGTTAAATAATTCCACCTATAAAAAAGAAATAACAACATACTGTATCTACTTCATAGGAGTTAATTATTCAGGGATGGTGGCACATGCCTATAACCCTAGCACTTGAGAGGCTGAGGCAGGAAGTTTGCTGTGAGTTTGACGCCAGCCTTGGCTATATAGTGAGTTCAAGCCCAGCCCCTGAACTGCACAGCTAAAAAAAAAAAAAAAAAAGCAACTTAATAACTATAAACTGCCTAAAACAGTCCATGATAAATAGTAAACACTTAACAAGTATTTATAATTATGAACTATAAATATGAATTATGAAGTTAGTATAATTATGAACCTGTCTCAGAATGACTTCTAAATTCTTACTATTAATATAAAAAATAGTAAATCTAGAAAAACAGTAAATACAGCATATGATAAAAATGTAAGTAACTCCGTGTACTTTTTACATATTTTAACAATGATTTTTACATTGAAAAAACAGACAAGAAAAGCAGCAGGTTTAAATCAAAAGTAATGAATAAAATGAATTAATTCACTAAATTACTAAAAATATAATTTACTAAAAATACAATTAAATTTTAGATGAAAAGGCTATCTTTAAAAATATTACAATATAAAATTTATTTGAAATCACTAAAATACATCTTCTATAAAGTATGAGCTAAACATTAAAAGCAAACAGCACAGTACCAACAATTCCATTTTCATCACGTAGACATCTTCTTTAAATCACAAACTTTCTTCCTAGAATAATCCAAGATAATAGATTAATGCTTAAATTATTTTCATGCTGATTCAGTATTAAAAGTTCACTGTAATAATTAAAAGCATACTTTAAAGCAAGAGTGTGAAAGAAAAATTTAGTCAATTGAAAAATACGAAACAAACTCAGTAACAGGCTACATGGATATAAAAAACCAGTAATTCTGGTTTGGAGGAATGAGTGACAGTCAAGGTTAAATTAAATTATTTTAAAACTCAAAATAGAGGACATAAAAATAAACTATGTGAGCTGGATGTGGTGGCACACATCTGTATGTAGTCTTAGTTAAGAATCTGAAATGGAAAACCCTGAGTTTGGGGCCAGCATGGGCAATTTAGGAAGACTGTCTCAAAAAATAAAAATGGTTAGGGATGTAGCTGAGTGGTAGAATGCTTTCTTTCCTAATATGTTCCATCTCCAGTGGCAAAAAAAGGTAAAAGTTAAATTACACAGGGACAAGAGTAGTAAAGAGATAGCAATAATGGCCATGAATAGAGGAGGAATGAATTTAAAACACCTGGAAATGAAAAGAAGAAAGAAATAAGGCAAAAGATGTAGTTTAAATAAGAAAGCAAAATAACAAAGTCAAGCATATTTAAGGCTTGAAAGTACACGTTCAAAGAACTCTCAAAGGAAAAGGAGTAACACCTTTCTCTTAAAGAGGACAAAAAGAAGAGAAGATGAACATAAAAATATATTTTAGGAAAGAGGAAATGAGAGGAAGATAAGCCATTTGAATTTAAAAAAAGATACGTCATGTACAGGAACCTAATAACTCTAATCAATGTAAATATCAAAAGCCATAATATGTGCTAAGACAAACAGTATCAACAGCTACTAAAATGGTGATTAGGGAATCAGAGGGGGAGGGAAAGAGGAAGGGCTTTAATATGTACATGTATCCACTCCCCACAAGATGACTGAAAACTGCATGAATTACTAACATCTACTAATAAAATAAACAAGAAAAAAAGTATATAAGTAGCTAAGTAAAAAAAATGACTATTTTAGGGTCAAGAGAAAAAAGATAAAGGGGAGTTGGTTTTATTCTTGTTTTTTATAAGGGCAATTAGTAAATTAACTATCCAAATGTCAGAAAAATCCAATAATTACTTAATCTGACACATACAACCCAAGTAAAACAGTAAATTATGGTAAAATTATGGAAAATGTTCACCTCAGAATCTTTACAATTATTCTCAACTCAGTATTTGTGTTTTTCATTCCACTTCTAGCTGTCTCTGACTCTCTTTCCCTATATTACTTCGTATCACCACCTGGGGAATACACTTTTTAGGATGTTGAAAGAGTCTTCCTCTTTCAAATATTGATAGTTGTTTTCCCAGGTATTAAGTCATTTCTAAGCTACCTTTTGCTGAAATTTGAGTCCCTTAAATTTTTTGGAAGGAATTAAGATATATTATATACATGTATCAACTTCCTACAAAGAATATAAACTTTGTGTAATATATACAAGTATTAATAAATTAAAATAATAAAAAATTAAAAATTTTCTTTGTCTTCTTACTGATGAAAGTAACTTTCTCTATTCCAACCTTTATATTTTATGTGCACCATTTACTTTTTTTTTGAGACAGGGTCTACTATGTAGGTTCAGGCTAGCTTTGAATTCACTATGTAGCTCAGACTGGCCTTGAACTCATGGCAATCCTTTGGCCTATGCCTCCCAAATGGTGGGATTACAGGCATGCACCACCACACCTAGCATCTCCATCATTGACCTAAGATAAATACAGAAAAATAAGATTTTCATGACATGGCATCATTCATTTAAATACAAGTTGAGACTCTCTACTTTAAAACCCAAAATGTTCCAAAAACTTCTAAGACATCACAAGAGGGAAATTCCACACTGTGAAACTTTGTTTTATATACCAAAAATATTATAAAATTACCACTAGGCTTTGTGTATATAAAACATAAATAAACTATTTAGACATGGTTTCATCCTCAAAATATCTCATTATGTATATGTAAATATCCCAAAATCTGAAACACTTCTGGTTTCAACCACTATACGAATTTTCTTCTAAGTAATAAAATGACATTCCTTGGAGACAAATTATTACAATTTACAATGTATGAACTACATACCTGAGTTAAACCAGCACCTGTTGGCATAGAGGACTTTTTAAATAGTCTAACTTCTTTGTTAATGTACCTTAGCATTCCACTAAGAGTACTAAAGTCATTACTCTCAGAACGATCATCTTCTATTTTATATGTTAGAGGTTTAAATGAGTCTGGCTGGCTTTCTTCTAACGTTGAAGGCTGTTTTAATTGTATTTTTTTTAAGTCCTGTAGTAACTCTTCAGAAGGATCTTCATTACCATGAGTTTTGAAACTAAGGTCACTGGCACTAATAGAACGACGTAATTTTCTGCACTTCAAAAAAGATGTGTGAGAATTTTCACCAAACTCTGGCTCTTGACTATCAGATACAGTTTGTTTTGGAGGTGTAACTGGGGCTAACAGGAAGTTGGTATCTTCTGCCTTTGCATGTCCAGAAATTTTGGCTTGTAATTTGGTTAATTCTGATTTCTGTAGGAAAAAAAATAATGCATGGTACATAGTTGGTATACAATGTATTTTTGTTAAAAGAATGAACTACTTAGAAAAATCAGACTTAGAAGTCATCTAAATCAACATTCATGTTGTCCAAGAATTGTTTTTACAGTTCTTGAGAGTTTTCCAACTGCTGTTTAAATCCTGTACTACTTAACATACCTTCATTTTAACACAATGATGTATGTTCATTTGAAATGTGTTTGGACTATAATTCGATGAAAATCTGAAAATCAGATTTTTCTTACAGATTTTTTTAAGTGTTAAGGAATCAATTTCTATTCAAGAATGAAATCTTATACTGGGCATGGTGGCTTACCCCTGTAATGTCAGCACTTGGCAGGTTGAGGTAGGAGAAACGTTTTGAGTTTCAGCTCAAGGCCTGCCTGAACTGCATAGCAAAATCATGTCTCAAAAAAATATGTAAATTAGTACGTAAGTAAGTAAGTAAATAAATAAGAGCCAGTGGAGAGGATTAGATTAAAATACCGTCTCACACACACACACACACACACACACACACACACACACACACGAACGAACGAAATCTTACACCTAAAAATTTCTCTGAAAAAGTACAGAGGTACACTATCTTTTGTTAAATCTAACAAATTGATTCCTTTCAGAATTTCTAAGAGGAAATAACTATATATTAGCTATTCTGTTTTATATGTGTTCATTAAGGGAACACTTTCTTAATGTACAATTATTTTTTAAAAAGAGATTGATATTTCATAAATACATGTTTTCTAAGTAAACTTTTCATTATATTTTCCCATGTCTTTCATTTGGGTCCTCTGATCCAACAATGGGAAACTAAGAATGAGACATACACTGAAAAACCGTAAAACCTAAAAAGATAAACAGACAGTATTTTGATAAGTACATTTACGTTTTCTTACAGGCATCTGTAAGACATATCTGTAAGACATACCCATATCTATTATCTGTATCTCTATATGAATCAGTCACTTTGAATATGATAGCTTCTATTTTATGTTTGGTTTGTAAAAAAATTATGCTTGTAACTAAAACTGTCATAATTACTATGTAATTGCATTATAAACTAAAACTTGAACATGAATATTCTGCTTTTTCAGGCATGCTACTTTATTTAGATAAACTTTACATGTAAAGCCAATTTTTTGTAGTAACATTACATCCATTTTTTTGGCAGTGCTAAGAACTGAACTCAGGGTCTTGTAGGAGCTATGTAAGTATTCCACCAATGAGTTACATCCCCTCCCAAATTCATATTCTTTTTTCTTTTTGTGGTACTGAAGATTGAACCCAAGGCCTTCCCACTGAGCTACATCTCCAGTCCTCCTTTTATTTTTTTATTTTGAAATGGGGTCTCACGAAGTCACTAAATTGCCCGGGCTGAGCTTGAACTTGTGAACTTCCTGTCTTAGCCTTTCTGGGTGCTAGGATTAGAGGTTTATGCTATTACACCCTACTCACATTCATATTTTTATAGCCCCACTTAATAGAATTATAGAATTGACACAGAATAGGATTTTGCTCATTTGGAGTTGGGTTTTTTCCCCTCTGTCATACATTATCTCATCACAATTGAAAAATAAATCTTGCATTAGTAGAATGACATGTAATGTTTACAATGAAAGGTAAACTCAAAAAAGGGTTGATTGCTGCTTTTCAGGGCTGTCAGAGAGTTGTCTTAGCTTTGCCTTTGCTCTAGTTGCCTTTAAATACCAGGATGTTAGTTATGGTACTGGAGGAAGTAAGCTAGAAAGACTAGTTGCCTTATAGTTTTCTCCTTCACTTTTGACTTTCTTCTGTTATTTACTGATGCTGTAAATGGAACTCCTTTCTCTAATCCTTACTTTTATATATGCTCTTACATTTTTATTAGCCTATTTTTCTTATCCTCCTTAACTTTTCATCTATACTTTAGAGCCCCTGAGGTTGAGTTTGAGAGCTGTCTTAGTCAACAAGAGGATTCCATTTTCTGACTGGTATGTATACTGTTCAATCACACAACATGTTCTAAGATCTTTACCTATTTTTATTTATCATTTTAGGCCCTGGCAATCGAACTCAGGACCTTGCACTTGCCAGTCAGGTGCTGTGCCACTGAGATATACCCTACCCGCCTACCGTTCATTTAAGAATGGCTACTACCTAGTCAACATTTTGGCAATTTCCTGAGTAGCTGAACTTAAAATCTTCTGAGTAATTGATCTGTGAATTCTAATTGCACTTACCTCACTGGTTATAGTATCTATTTAACAACTTAGCAGAGATACTTAGTACAGCAAGGGGTATAACAGAGTCTTAATTTTTGAGGCTGATTTTTCAAAATGAAGCTTTGTAAATTTGCATAAATGTTATAAATCCTCAAAATATTTGGAATATTGTTTTAATGAAAGTATCAATGTTCAGCCTAAACAAACACATAGTCATGTATGCACATGTGCGTGTGTGTGCACCACACACACATCTACATGTTCCTGGTATTAAACCCAAAGCCTTACACATTATAAGCACACACTGTACCACTGAGCTAAAACCCCAGACCCAAAATGTAATTTTAGGTTATATCTATGCAACTTTTATCTAGTACTGTAAATGTCAACCCTATTAGAAAAAGAATTTAAGTGCTCAACTTAGTAGACTACTAGAAATATTACTAAGGTATTATTTAGTTGAACTTTTTTCCTTTTTTTTATAATTTCCATTTTGATATAAAATCACTAATTGCTTCCAACTATTAGTTTGTTCACTTTTAATGGATATATATATATATATATATATATATATATAGTGTGTGTGTGTGTGTGTGTGTGTGTGTGGTTGCAGTTTGGGTTGGCCTTGAGCTCACTTTGTAGCCCAGGATAGTCTCAAACTCACAATGATCCTCCTGCTCTAGCCTCCCTTGTGCTGGGATTACAGGCAACTACTTTATATATTAACTTTTTAATATTTATCAATACAAAAGTAATTTTTTAATCTCTATACATCGATACTGAAATTAATTTCAAATTTTAGAGAAAAGTGTCATGATCAGTAGATGTGAATAAGTAGCACCAGGCTATTTAAAAATACCTACATTCAAATCCAATAAAAAAAATCTTAAGTATAATCGGGTATTTCTGCTTCAAGATTTTTTCAAGGAACTTACTGATTTTGAAAAACACTTCTTTTTAGGTACATGAATGCCATTTAAAGTAAATATTATGGTTGGATAAATCTGTATTTTAATATTTATAAATATTTGTGTAGCATCACAAATTAGTCTTCTGCATAAAATGCCTTTTACTCAAACAAGTAGATAATTGGCCATAATGTCCTTTACAATCTGTAAGAAGTGAACAAATAAATTATAAATTTGTTTCATTACTTTTATATGCTTACTTACTTTAATAAGTAATGCTTCATTTGCAGCTTCAATTACTTCATTCCTGTCTTGAACTTGTTGATGTAAATTGCTTACAGTGTCCTGAGCTTCTTCTAACTCTAGTTTTGCCTTCTCTAATTGTTCATTTAGTTGCTGAACAGAACTCTTCTGAGAGTCAGCAGAAATCTTCCATTTGGCATGGTTTTCTTGATGTGAAATCATCTATAAAGTTCCAAAATAGAAAAAGAAAAGAACAGAAAAGAAAGTAGTATTGGTTTCTACAATACTGTCATATTTGCTATGAGCACTTACTTTTTCCTAAAAGAAAAGAAATTCTGTAGCTATGAACACTTAATTTCTTTTCTTCTTTTTTTTGAACCCCTGATTTCTAAACAAATAAAACATTACAGGGAAAAAGGGAGAGAAGCCACAGTCAGGCCTAAATTTACTTAACAGCTTTATGCAATGGACTTTATCTAGAAACTATAAAGACATTTTTGAGACAAATGTGGAAATCTGAACAATGGATATTTAATGACATAAAGGAATTTTTGTATGATAATGCTACTATTGTGAGGATTTTTTTAAAAAGTCGTTTTAGAAATACTTATTGAAAGAATTTCAGGTGAAATAATGATGTACAGAATTTGCACCAAAATAAATATTTGAATACTAAGAGAAAAATAGGGAGGGGAAGGACTGAGGTTAAAGATATATTGACCATACTTCCCTATATGTCTAGAAGCAACTGGGTTTTATACATGAATATCCTGGTCTAATTACTAACAGTATTCATTTTTAGTCCTCAAAGTATTTCCTTTTACATAAAAAGGTCAACCCATTTATGAATTAAATTAAATTGGCCATGAGTTGATAATTAGATGTTAAATTATAAACATAGGGAGATTATACTAGTCATACTATTTTTGACTATATATAAAACTCACAACAACAAAATGTTAAAACAATCTCACTTTTATCCAAAAATATCAGAAGATTTACAATTACTAAATGACTTTTTTCATAATTCTAAAATCATATTTTAAAAATCCTGGTAAAACTTACTGATCTTTTTCTAACTTTCTATTACTTTAACACTTTACAGTCTTATTTATTTATTTATTTATTTATCTTTTTGAGACAGGGTTTCACTGTGTAATTCAGGCTGGCCTTGAGCTCACTTTGTATCCCAGGTTGGTCTCAAATTTGCAATGATCCTCTTGCCTCAGCCTCCAGAGCAGTGAGACTACAGGCATGCACCACCACGCCCTGCTACACTCATTTTTATATTCAAACAATACACATACATTGGAAATAAATTTTTGTCAGTAATCAAAGCAGAAAAATAGACTATATAGTTCAGGAATATTTTATGTCAGACATAGAAATATTAGTACCAAACACTGAACAGCAAGACTAGAATCAATTGTTACACTTGATTTTATATACTTTTATAAAAATTTTAAGAAGCTTATAAAATTAAAAGTAAACAACTGGTAATTAGAGATGAAAGTAAAATGACAAAAATAAAATTAAACACCATATAATAAAAGTGGTAATGAGCAGCTAAGGGCAAATACTAGAGATAGACTTATTATTGATAGTCACTAAATGGAGCAGCAAAAATTAATTAAACAATTATGCTCAATTCAACAGCATTCACATTTATATCTAAAGACCAAGGCTAGGCCAGACCTGGAAGTACATGTCTATAAACCCAGCACTTGGGAGTTTAAGGCAGGACTGCTGTGAGTTTAAGACCAGCCTAGGATGCATAGTAAATTCAAGGCCAGTCTAAAATACATAGCAAAACTCTGCTTAAAAAAAAAAAAAAAAAAAGACCTAAATGTATAATCTCTTGGCTTGAGGACTGAATATTTAACTTGCAAATGTATTTTGTTTACAAGGCACAATGTTCTTTGAAGAGTTTTGAAAAGTACACTTAAGACATAGTTACTGGACTTCCGGGAGAACATGGCGGACAGATAACAGCAACTACCGGAGGCTCTCTGAAAGACTCGGCTCAGAAGCCAGGAATGGTGCGGACTAAGGAGACATAAGTCGGTGGAGATATGCTCTGCTGACTCAGGAACGAACTGGGCTGAGAGAAGCCAACTTGGAATGCAGTCCTGGTGCTAAAACAGGAACAGAAAAGACTTGGTGTGGAGGCTGGAACCGCGCCATTGTAAGCCGCGATTTGGGTTTCCCGCCGCGCGGCGGCTGGCTGCCTCTACAGTGGCTCGGCAAGGAGAGAGACGCGCGGAAGCTCTGAGAACGGCAATCTGCGAACGGCAGGGAGGTGCGCACTGACTTGTGGTGAGGTGAGTGAGAGAAACTGACACTCTACCACAGTTTGACTCCAGCAGAGGACTTTCTGGGCCCGGGCAGTCCTGCGGGAGCAGGGCGCGGTGGGACTCCAGCCACACATCCCCCTCTCGGGCGGGATTGGTGAAAAGTGCCTGGCCTGCGTGACGCTGCCGGCAGACCTGGTAGACTGTCCCAACCCAGATCCCAGAGCCTGACGGTGGCCGGGAGGGGAGATGCGTAGGCTGCCTGGTCCGTAACTCCCTGGTGCACAGCGGTGAGTGGGAACAACTAACTGGCGCAATTCGATCAGGCTGTGGCTGACTGGGAGAGAAGCTGGGCCTCTTATATAAGCTTGCATATATAAGGAACAGAGAAGAAGAGGCAGCATGGGAAGAGGCAGCAACAAGAAAGGCTCCTCGACCCCAATTCTGAGAAACAGGCAATAGCAGACACCACACCAATACACATAAGGCACCATATAGAGAGCCTCATAGACCAATTCAGGAATGAAGTTATCAATGACCTGAAGCTAGAAGTATGCAGAATAGTTAGAGAAATGCTAAGTACCACCCAAGAAAAAACAGGTGGTGGAATGGAAGAACAGAAAAAAAGGGGAGAATTGTTTGATGGAGAAAACAGAGAAAGCATAGAATACGTGAAGCAGGTTCAAAGGGACTACCAAGATACTAAGAAGTCTATAGAAGACTGGCATAACAGCTTGAAAGAAACTAAGGACAGACTATCTGAACTGGAGGGCAGACTTGTAATATGGGAGAATGAAATGAAAAACTTCTTAAAAATAACAAAGAAACAAACAGCAATAATACAAAGACAAGAAGATGATAAGAGGATCCATAACTTAAGGATTAAGAACATAAAAGAAGAAGTAGGGACACAAACAAGTGAACTACAAAAGCTACTCACAGAAATAATCCAGGAGAATTTTCCTAATTTAGCAAAAGGTAAAGATACTTGGATGTATGAGGCATACAGGACCCCAGCTACCTACAACCCAAACAGAGCAACACCCAGGCATATAATAATAAAAATTCCAGAAATTCAATACAAGAACAGAATATTAAAAGCTGTAAGAGACAAGAAACAGACCACCTACAAGGGAACACCCATCAGAATTACAGCAGATTTCTCTGCACAAACCATCAAATCACGAAGAGCGTGGGGGGAAATAATTCAAGCATTGAAAGATAATAATCTCCAGCCAAGATTGAGATATCCTGCACAACTGTCCCTGGAAATTGATGGAAAAACAAGGTGCTTCCAGGATAAAGAGGAACTGGGGGAATTTGCAACCACCAATTCAACTCTACAGAGAGTATTGCAGGATATTCTAAAAAAAGAAAAATACAAAGAATCCAGAAATAATGGCAGAGAGGCCACAACGAATGGAGCAGAGAACAAAATGAAGAAGACAAACTGACAGCTACGGACAGAAAAAGAGCTTAACAGAAATGAGGCAGAGAAGATTGGATGATAGGAACAGCTATTTTGGAGAAAATGACATCTTAATAGGTAATACAGATTTAGTATCATCTTGTTTTGAAGTCTCATCTAGCTTTTGTCCTTCTGTCTCCAATGGTCTAAATAGGCTGTATCTTATTGGATTTTATTATGTACGATAGTATAAGCAAAAACCTTTTAAAGACAAGGAGATTATACAGAAACCATTGTTCATTTTGTTAGTCGATTCTAAATACTCTGTAATGCTGTCATTCTCTTGAATGGTTTTACATTGTTTTGATATACTTAATGCTACAGTATACGAAGTTGTACTCAAGGATTTCAAAGAAAGAAACAATATGGTAACTACTTTTAGGTTAGGATTATCTGGTGGTGAAACACTATTCTGCTTAAATGGTTATGTTTTGATCTGCGCTGTTTCGTTGTTATGCCCTCTTTTATCTCAATCTCCACTCCATTATTTACTTTTTTATCTTTATCCTTTTAATTAAAGGGAAAAAAATAGCAGGATATATTATAGTAACCCACTTTGACTTTTCATTACCTTGATTTAAAGCCCTGTATTACTCTCACCATCTGGTTTTTAACTGATGTTCCCCTATTCTGTTTTGCTGGATAGTATCAGGTTCAAAAGTTTAGGCATCAGCTGTGAAGATAATGAGATTCATTATGACGCCCATTCTTGTTGACTTTTGTCTACTTTTGAAGACCTACAATGTCTCCAATGTTTTGGTTTTGTCGGTTTTGTTCTTTACTGTTTTGTTCAATTGTATTATAACTAATGATATAGGCAATTCTATTAGAGATAGCGGGAGGCATTATGGTAACCATTGTTGATCACCTTGTATTATGTTTTTACATTATCTATTATGTCCACCCTTTTGACTTGACCGTTTCTGTTATGTCACATTTGGTTTTACTCTCTTCCAAAAAAGTAATAAGAACCGTGGGAGCAATGAAACCCAAAATGTGTAATAGTCATGGTACAAAAGAGAAGAAAAGAAAGTGCTCCAAACTATATAACTGCATGTATATTTAAGTGTATAAGATAGAAAATGATATCACAGAGTTTTATCGGATCAATGAACAGAACTGTTTGCAGTATCATTGATGGAATGTCCACTTTACAAGCTCTAATTTTGTGACTTGAACAATTATTTCTAAGATGACAATATGTAATCCATTAACTAGTGATTTCCTACTGTTCATTTTTTTTCTGTAAATCTGTATAACTTGTACCCTTTCCCTGCTTTTTTTTTCTTTTCTCCTTAAATAAAATTAAAAAAAAAAAAAAAAGACATAGTTACTACAAAGCCCCATTATCTCTCATAAAATCTTTACCAACTATCTCAAAAAGGGTTTAATATAAATGTATTTGTTACATAGAAAAATGCCTTATTAGCATTGAATTCAAATAACTCATTTAGATCATATAC